AGAGATAGCAAAGCTGGGCCCCTCTGCCAAATGTTACAGGGATTCCTCTTTCTGGTGCCTGTCCCCTGTGCCTGGGGTACCTGGCATGGGTTCTGTCCTCTTTGTACTCACTGCATTCTTCCCTTTGGTGGACAGTCCTGCAGGTCTGTTTGGCTCCCACTATGTCTTTGTCTTTCCTACCCTCCTTAGTGTGGCCTCTTTTCAACATATAGGTGTGAAGTCTGTTCTTCTAGTCTTTGTTTTTTGTTTTTTGGTTTTTTTCTGGTTATTTACACTGATGAGGATGTATCTAGTTGCATCTGTTGGATGAGACAAGCCTAGGATCTTCCTGTTCTGCCATCTCCCCACAAATCCTTCCTCTACATTTTTAATATAGTGATGATTAGGATGTGTTCCTGGCATTTAGCACATGGGATGGGGCTTGGGATGTAGGCTGGCATGGATACTAAATATCCTATCCTGCATTCAGCAGTCCCATATAAAAAATAAGTGTATGCTCAGTATGGCTGTGATATCACTGATTGAGTGATGCTGACTTTTTGATTGAGAAATGCTGACTCAGTGCAGTAAGAGGGAAAAATTCAGGTATGAGGATTAGAAATAAAAAGCAAAACTATACTTGTAGACAATTTACTCATTTAGAAAATCAAATGAAATTACAAATTACCAGAACAAAGAACCTGAGTTGAAGGTAGGTGATTATGGAATTGACATACAAAGATCAATAGCTTTCCTATATATGAGCTATGTCTATAAATCTATAAGATTATATTTGAAAATAAAATCTTAAAGCAACAAATAACAACCTAAGAAAGTCACTTAACAAAAACGTGTGTATAGCATTATGGAGAAAAATATAAAATGTTCCTTAAGCATGTGAACAAAGATTTGATAAAAAGAGGAGCATACCATGTTTATAAATGGGAAGACTCCTGCTTGAATAAATAAATATTATTTCTCCCCTAAATATTTTATACCTTCAAGCAATGCTAATCCAAATCCCTATTTCCAGTATAACTGTGTATATGTAAGTCAGTATCTTTGCTCTTCTCTTCCCAGAAACCACACAAAAGCAATAAGCACAACACAACTCCCACAAGGTACACTTTCAGTGAAACTACAAAAAAAAAAAAAAAAAAAAAAAAGTAAAGAAAATCTGTGAACAACTACTAAGTATTTGTTAGGACTACAAAAAGCAACTGAGATTAGGCAGAAACAATGTGGGAGGAAGTAAGGAAGGATGAGCTGTGGGAGAGCACCTGGGGAATCTCAGAGGGCTTGAGGAAAATTCTGGGAGGCAAGTTTGGCAATATCCAGAAAAATTTAAAGTGATTATATTTTATGATCTAGCTGCTAGACTTTAGGTCCTTCTAAGGATCCTAGAGAAATTTTCATATGGACATAATGAGAGCAGTACAAGGATGTTTTTTGCAGCATTACTATGTGTATTCAAAAATTGAAGCAATCTAAAACATCAGTTTTTGGAAGATAGCTTAAATTCTGGTTGAGTCCTACAATGGAAGAATGAAATTAGATCTCTTTCTGTCAGTGTGACTAGTGTCCCCAAGACAAAATTGAGTAAAAAAGCAAGTTGCTGAGTGATACTTATAGTAAAATATCATGTATGTAAAAATTAAATAAAAGACTAGTGTTATACTTTTACTTATGTATAGTTCATTTTTTTCCAGCTTTATTGAGATATAATTGACATATCATATACATTTAAGGCATACCATGTGATGATTTTATGTATATATATATATATATATATATATATATATATATATATATTTTACAAAATGATTGCCACAATTACTTAACACACCCATCACCTCACATAGTACCATTTTTTTTTTTTGGTATGTGTGGTGAGAACATTTGAGGTCTACTCTCTTGTTAGCTTTCAAATATACAGTATAGTATTTTTAACTATAGTCATTATGCTGTATGTTAGATATCCAGAACTTATTCATCATATAACTGTAAGTTTGTACCCTTTGACCACTTTCACCCATTTCTCCCACTTCCTTGCCCCTGGCAATCATCAGTCTACTCCCTGTTTCTATGAATTCAGTTTTTTTTAGATTCCAGATGTAAGTGAGATCACACAATTTTTGTTTTTTTCTGTCTGACTGATTTTACTTAGCATAATGCCCTCAAGTTTAATTCATGTTTTCACAAGTGGCAGGATTTCCTTTCTGTATGGCTAAATTTTATATATTTTATATTACATATAATAATAAAATTTATCACATTAATTATAGTCAGTATTAATTATATTAAATATTACATATATGATAAATTTTGTTATATCACATAGTAATCATATTTAATATAATGTTAATTATATTTAATGTTATATAGGAATTATATACATTTATATCATTTTTTTACATAGTCATGTGTTGATGAACACTTAAGTTGTTTCAATGTCTTAGCTACTGTAAATAATGCTACAGTGAACATGGTGGGGTACAGATATCTCTTTGAGATAGTAATTTCATTTCCTTCAGATGTATACCCAGAAGTGGAATTGCTGAATCATATGGTACCTCTGTTTTTAATTTTTTGAGTAAGCTCCATACTGTCTTTGATAGTGACTATAGCAATTATATTCTTGCCAACAGTGTACTAGGGTTCCCTTTTCTCTATATCCTTTCCAGCATTTGTTATATCTCGTCTTTTTTAAAACAACTATTCTAACAGCTTTGAAGTACTATCTTTTTGTGTTTTTCTTTTGTAGTTCTCTGATAATTTGTGATATTGGGCGCCTTCCATGACCTGCTGGCCATTTGTATATCTTCTTTGGAAGAATGTCTATTTAGGTCCTTTGTCCATTTTTAAATCACATTATTTTCATTTTTTGATTTGTAGTAGTTCCTAATATATTTAGGATATTAACCCCTTATCAGATGTATGGTTTGAAAATATTTTCTTCCACTCTATAGGTTGCCATTTCATTTTGTTACTTATTTCTTTTGCTGTGCAGAAGCTTTTTAGTTTGATGCAGTCTCATTTTTGTTTATTTTTGCTTTTGTCATTTGTGCTTTTGGTGCCATATACAAAAAAAAACCATTGCCAAGACCAATATCAAGAAGCTTTCTCCCTATGCTTTCTTCTAGGAGTTTTACATTTAAGTATTTAATCCATTTCAAGTCAATTTTTGTGATTGATGTAAGTTAGGGATTCAGTTTCACTCTTTTACATGTAAATATCCAATTTTTCCAGCCCCACTTACTGAGGAAAGTATCTTTCCCCCATTGAGTATTCTTGGCTCCCTTGTCAAATATTAGTTGACTATATTTGGGGTTATTTCTGGGCTCTTGATTCTGTTTCATTGGTCTATGTGATTGTTTTTATGCCAGTACTGTATTATTTTGATGACTGTAGCTTTATAATATAGTTTGAAACCAGGAAGTGTTATGCCTTCAGCTTTGTTCTTCTTTCTCAAAATTGCTTTGGCTCTTCAGGAGTTTTTTATGTTTCCATATTAATTTTAAGGTTGTTTTTTCTATTTTTTTTAAAGATTTTATATATTTATTTGACACAGAGATATAGATCACAAGTAGGCAGAGAGGCAGGCAGAGAGAGAGGGGGAAGCAGGTTCACCGCTGAACAGAGAGCTTGATGTGGGGCTCAATCCCCAGACCCTGAAATCATGACCTGAGCCGAAGACAGAGGCTTAACCCACTGAGCCACCCAGATGCCCCTGTTTTTTCTATTTCTGTAAAAAATGTCTTTAAATCTTACTAGGAATTGTACTGAATCTGTGTATGGCTTTGGGTAGTATATTTTAACAAATTAATTCTTCCAATCCATGAACATGGGATATTTTTCCCTTTACTTTTGTCATCTTCAATTTCTTTCATCAGTATTTCATAGTTTTTAGTGCATAGATCTTTTATCTCCTTGGTTAAATTTATTCCTATTATTACTACTACTACTACTACTACTACTATTATTATTTTAAGATTTTATTTATTTGAGAGAGAGAGCACGCACGAGTGGGGTGGGGAGGGTCAGAAGAAGCAGGAGAAGCAGCCTCCCCACTGAGTTAGGAGACTGAGGAGGGGTTCAATTCCAGAACTCTGGGATCATGACCTGAGCTGAAGGCAGATGCTTAACTGACTGAGCCACCCAGGTGCACCCCATTTTATTATTTTTTATTCTATTATAAATGGGATTGTGTTCTTTATTTTTTGGTAGTTCATTGTTAAAATAGTTCATTGTTAAAATACAACTGATTTTTGTATGTTGATTTTATATCCTGCAACTTTACTGAATTCATTTGTTAGTTCTAACCGTTTTTTATAGTTTTTCGAGTTTTCTGTATATAAGGTCATGTTATCTGCAACAGAGACCATTCACCTCTCCCTTTTCAGTTTGGTTGGCTTTTGTTTCTTCTTTGCCTGATTGCTCTGGGTAGGACTTCTAGTACTATATTGAATAGGAGTGATAAGAATAAGCTCTTGTTTTGTCCCTGATCTTAAAGGAAAAGCTTTCAACTTCACTGTTGAGTATGATGTTAGCTATGGGCTTGTCTATAGAGTTCATTTCTGTTTCATTTCTCTAATAGAGAGGGAGTATAGAGTAGTAGATAAGACCACAAAGGTTAGATTGCCATGTTCAAATCCTGATTTCTATCACTTACCAGCTGTGACCTTCTTTGAGTAACTGATATTTCCTTGCATTTCAAAATATTGATTTGTCTGATATAGGGCATTCCAAGGTATGATTGTTTAGTAGTCAGACAATATTCTTCAAATACTGTCTAGCATTTTATGTGCAACTAAAATGTCTTCTGGCCGAATAAGTAACAAGAGGCAGTACATGGCACAGATAAGCTATGAGGCACACCAGGAAGATGTTTCCTAATATCATTTTGTCTTGTCATCACCCTTGAAGTTCAAGAGAACAGGAACTGAAAGGGAATAAATTAAATACTGAAACGTACATGAGTTTGTTCATATGCTTCTAAGGTGCTTTGCTTCATCATCCAGGTCGAGGTCTCCCGGCAGGACAAGCTGAGGTTGAGATGATAGAACGTGCCCGGGAGAAGCGTGCTTGGGAAGCCACTCTTCCAAGTCTGAGTGACTCCTTCCAGTTTGAGAAGAGGAGGAGGATGATGAATGTGATGGAGAGGAAGGAGTGGGCCTTCAGAGAGCAGGAGATTGAAAAGTAAGTTCTAGATTACCCAAATATCTGTACCTGAGCTGTTGGTGTAATGTAAATACTTTTTATCTGTAAAGCATTTTCCCAAATGTATGGGTTTAAAAGCAACCTGCCACCTATAGAGATAGAAAGTTGGGTTTCTGGTTCTTTTGGGAATAATAGCTCTATAATTTTCTTCCTAACAATATAAAAATGTATAAGGCCCTCTTCATATGTTAAGTTTTAAGTATGGAACCCAGATTTGAACAATTCCTCAAAACATCTGTGATTCTTCTCTTCCCTTTTCTCTTTAAAGAAAATCTAATCTAGACTATCACAGAATCCCATTGAAATGCCTTTTGTTTTTTTAAAGATTTTAAAAATTTATTTGACAGAGTGAGCACGAGCAGGGGGAGCAGCAGAGGTTGCTGCAGGGGGAAAGGGAGAGGCAGGCTTTCCACTGAGCAGGGAGGCCAATGTGGGGCTCAATTCCAGGACCCTGGGATCATGACCTGAGCTGAAGGTGACTGAACCACTCAGGTGCCCCTGAAATGTTTTGTTTTTGTTTTTTTAATTTTTTAAACTGTAGTTCATTAACATACAGTGTGATACTGGTTTCAGGAGTAGAATTCAGTGCTTCATTGCTTACATATAACACCCAGTGCTCATCACAAGTACCCTCCTTAATCCCCATCACCTATCTTGCCCATCCCCCACCCACTTTCCTGCATCAACCCTCAGTTTGTTCTCCATTGGTAAAAGTCTCTCTCCTTTTTCTTCCCCTTCCCATATGTTCATCTATTTTGTTTCTTAAATTCTACATATGAGCGAAATCCTATGGTATTTGCCTTTCTCTGACTTACTTTGCTCAACATAATATACTCTAGTTCCATCCACTTTGTTACAAATGGCAACATTTCATTATTTTTTCATGGCTGAGTAATTTCCTATTGTGTGTGTGTGTGTGTCTGTGTGTGTGTATGCCACATCTTTACCATTCATCATCAGTCTTTTGAACTGACCCTTTCTGTTCATTCCCAGCGCCACCCTCTCTGGGGATATCTTCATATCCATCAGCCTCCTAGCTAATCCTCTTATTCTCCCTGCTACTGGATTCGCAGTCAGGATGCCTTGGGTTCTAGTCACAGCCCATGGGGCATTTTTTATTTAAAAGACAAATTGTGGAGTTCTTCAATTAAGAGATGAGCTCACAGTGCACAAATAACAATATGCTGTGGTACTTTTGGTTTTCAGTTATTTATCTAATGTATTTGCAGTAATAAGGCTGTCTTTGGAATGTATAGAAAGGATGAAAACCCCCAAATTACAGCTCCCTAGCAATAAGGAAAGGAAAGGAAGGGAACTTGATAAGGTTGTCGTTTGTCCTAGGCTGAGCTGAGGCACTTCACTGCTCATAGCGATGCCACCACAGCCCCTGACAGTGCGCTTACACACAAAAAAGTTAAGAACCAGAGCCTCAGTGTGGTTCTGAATTCAAAATATGTTTATCTTTTTACAACACCTTCTGTTAACCCTGAATTTGTGTGATGTTTTGGTAAAAACTTGCAATTAAAGAACGCAAAGGTGTTAGGTATTGGGTGCCCAGTCCTGTCTGTAGAAAATTAAATTTATTTTTGCAATTTGGAGAGGTATAGTCTTATCAGAAGGGCATTAAAAACATTTAAAATGTTTCTGGGTAGTTCTGTTTAGGGTAGGTGGAGAGTTGGGAAAGTTATTGTGAGAAGCTAGCCTCTGAGCTAGATGTTGAAGGGTGAGTAAGAAGCCATCAGTTTGATAATATTAGTGATTATGATTATGATATTTACAAAGCATGTTACAGTTACAGAGTGCTTACTATGTGTTGGAGCCATGTTCCAAGCCAGTAGTTCTCAAATTGTGGTCCGCAAACCAGCAGCGTCAGCATTACCTGGGAATTTGTTAGAAATCCAGATTTTCGGGCACCATGAGGACTCCAGATTATCTGATGCATGCTCAAGTTTGGGAACTACTACTGTTCTACCATGTTGTATGTATTAACTCATTTAATGCTCATGACAATCTTATGGGATAGAAATTATGTCCATTTTATGACTAAAGGAATTGAGGTTCAGTGATGAATTTGAGAATGAGCCTAGGATTTCTAACTTCAGACAGAAAGGTGACTCTTGGTCTGTGGCTTATTTTTAAAAACACCTGTTTCTCCATATTTTTCGCTTTTCACTACTTCCCCACTCTCCCTTGTATGTTCGCTTTGAGAAGCTCCCCCAGTATGACATGTTAGCTCTGTCTCTAGTCCTTTGAGTTGTACTTTCCTCTACTGAGGCCTCACTTTTCCCTTGTGTATGTGGCAAATCTCAATCCTTGTTTATTCTCAAGACTAGAGTTCATGGCTCCTGTAAGGAAGACTTCCCCACCTTCCTGGATCCACTGGGAATAGCACTAGACATAGACATTCTGTCATTTCTTCTCCCACATTCTTCATTCTTCTGGTCTGGTATTTATCTTCTTGTGCTATAAAATACTAGTTGATATGCCTGCTCCAATAGAATAGTGCTTCTTGAGAGAAGGTGTTTTATTTTGTTCATCATTGTTTGTTTCCTGCTTGGCATATGGTGAGCACTTTCATAAATATTTGACAAATGAGTGGCTGAATAAATTACTCTATGAATTTTTAAGTAAGAGTAAAATGTTCAAATGTCTATTTTAGGAAGGAAAATCTTGACAGCTGTTTGGAGCAAGATTAGAAGGAGAGACTAGATTAGCAACTAGAGTCAAAGTTAGGAGAGGGATGTTAAAAACATGAGCTAAGGGATGGATGTAAGAAGTGTTTTAGAAGAGGAATTATTAGGGGAGGGAAGAAGATGTAAGAAAGGGTAGGTTTCTTGTGGAACAAAATGAGTGGGGTTTGTTTGAGGTTGTCAGGGGCTAGCTGGAAATTCTAAGTAGACAGGAATTCTGGTTCAGAAACACCTGGTCCGGAGGTAGAGATTTTGAAGTCATGTGTACATGGTTGTATACACATGAGCAAGGTAGCTAGCTCTAGGAGAACAAGATATAGGTAAGGGGAAGGGAAACAAAAATTAATTGGGTGTCTGTATGTGCCAGACACTGCCATTTTCACATTTATTCCTTAAAATAGCATGCTGCTTCATTTTCTCTTCACTCGTATTACTTAACTCCCCGGCTAATACCTATGGACTTGGAACTGTGCACAAACATCTTATTGTTCTTTTAGGCCCATCTGCCTAGAGAGCCCTTTTATTTGACTGGCATACTCTTCTTTGCCTTTCAGAACTACGCCCATACATATTCCTTTTATAGAGAGACTCACTATTGAGTTGCCTCCCTCAAATAGCCAATCCATTTGTCATACTTTTGCCAGAGCAGCCTTTTTAAATACATGAATGTGATACCAGCCCCAACAGAGCATCCTGTTTATAGCAGGTGTTTCCCTTCTCTGTAGTAGAACACTCTGAGATACCAAATAGGTCTTTATGTTTGGTGATTTACTTAAAGACTTCAGGAGATTCGCCTGGAAATTCTAAAAGAGCTGCTGAGAAAACGTGATGAGAATCAGAACGAAGTGAACATGAAGCACCTGAATGCCCGGTGGTCTCAACTGCAGGAAGCAAAGGAGGCAAAATTGGCACGGATTCAGCACACACACGTCTCAGGTAATGGTGTCATATGAACAGTGAAGGGAATGGGAGGGTTGACTTTGCTTTGAATCTTTGAGCAAACCTGATTTAGGTACAATTCCTTCGAGTCCTAATGTTATTAAATAAGTAAAGGAGATGAATTATTTCTCAAAAGTAGAAGAGTGGAAGAAAATTCCTTACTGAGAAAACCAAGTATTGATGTTCTAACAGGCAGTCCAGCTATTAACATTATGTGTGTGGGGGGTGGGGTAAGTGTAAGGGGTTGGCCTTCCCATATTCATGGATTGAAGTCCTGGATAGGGAGCCCTATTTCTCAGTCTTTTTTTATTATTGCTCTTAAATGAGACATTTAATCATCGTTTTTCCTGCTCACCCCCTGCCAAGAAATTTTAATACCATGGATATACTGTATATCTGTTTGCATACTATCTCTGTACATATAAAAAGAGCAGTCTGTAGATGATTAAGAATGACTATATCAAAATTTTAAATTAAAATTTAAAAAGGGGCATCTGCATGGCTCAATTGGTTAAGTGTCCAACTCTTATTTTGGCTCAGGTCACGATCTCAGGGTTGGGAGATTAAGCCCCACGTTGGGCTCCTCACTGGGCACGGGGGCTACTAAAGCTTCTCTCTCACCCTCTCCCTCTGTCCCTCACCACCCCTCATCTCTGTCTCTCTCCCTCTCAAAAAAAAATTAATAAAAATAAGGATTAAAAATTTTAACTCATTAGTATTTATAGTTTTATTTGCTTAGGAACTTTTAATGTAATTTACTTTTAAAATTGTAATATTTCAATTACATGTGCAAATTAGCAATTTCTATGCCTAATAAACAGAATAATCACAATATTTAAAAAACCAAATTTGTTATTTATCTACAAAAGTAGAACAATTATAAAAATTCCTTAAAATCAAAAAAAAATTCCTTAAAATTATTCTCAGTGAACTTAACTTTTAAAGTTTTCTTGATGTGAGAAAATAACTTTTAACTAGATGCTAGGTATGCATTTAGATATTGTCAACTGTTTCTTTTTAGTACTTCACAATAATAAACGATGGGTTGACTAGCTTGTCTATTGTATTCTATTCTATTCTAAAGTCCTCCTGTCCCTCTCTTCCGCCCTCTGGGATCGGTCACCTTCCAAAAAACTTCCTGCACACATAACTTTGTTTTAGGCTCTGCCTTTGGGGGAACCAAGGCTAAGACATTACTCATATGTCACTTCTTCAGTGAGGCCTTCAAGGACACCCCCACCCCCCATAAATTAGGTACCTGTTATCTGCTCTCACTTATATGCCCCTGAACTTATTTTGTGTGTGAGACGATAACTTTTAACTAGCTGTTAAGTATACAGTTAGATATTGTCAACACTTTTTCTCTTCAGTACTTGATCTAACTAATGATGAGCTGACTAACTTTTGTAGATAAATAACAAACTGAAGGTTGCTGGAGGGGAGGGGTAGAGGGATGGGGTAACTGGGTGATGGGCGTTAAGGAGGGCACTTGAGATAATGAGCACCGTGTGTTAGATGCTACTGATGAATCACTGACCTCTACTCTGAAACTAATAAAAAAAGATAAATAACAAAATATAAACTTTTTGTTTAATTCCCAAACCCCACGTCACACACAAAAGTGTGGAGAATCAAACATAAATGCCCACAAGGCAGCAGTAGTACATGCAGCCGCCTCTTACAGTAAGACTTTGCCGTCCCACAGTATGGGTTTGCACCCATCGTGAGTGCACAGTGTGGAACCCTGGGGGGTGGATCTGTGATAGGCGGAGAGGTAGCACAACTCCTCAGCTGAGTAAACTCCCAGTGTGCACAGCTGAGCCTTTTCCATCTGACGGCCAAAAAGTTCTGAAAGCTCCAAGCTGGGATATATTGTGTTTTATTCTGTTGTTAGGCAAGGTAGAAAGAGATTATTGAAGAACCTGTTGTCTTCCTTCCCTTGCAGTTATTTTCCCAGGAGAAAATAATTCTCCAGAACTCCACTGACCATGTCTTTCTTGGTTACTTTGAATTTCTTTCATTAGCTTGACAAAACTCTTCCTGAGTTTTTGTAAGTAAGTTTTTGTAAGCTCTTACCTCAGAGCTTGGAATGCACTTATAAAAGACTTTTGATGAGTACCAACTGAGGACACTAACTGACTCAGCTTCTGTTGCTCCCACTTGTCTCATGATGACCTGGGCTGTGAGATGACAGACCTGGCTGCAGTGAGCGGTCATCATGAAATTCAGTCAGTTCAGTAGCTTCCCTGTGACTAAAAGTAGAACTGGCTTATTATTATGCATTTGTTCAGAACAACACTGTGAAGATAGTCACAGAGGTATGTTTTATTGTAGCAATCAGAAAACTTGTGGGAAAAAGAAAGAATATAGAAGGAAAGTTGGAGAGAAGAAATATCATCAGGGATTATTGTGATTATGCATCACAGGTCTATGGACCTCTGTCTCGTCTTGGTCGTTTCCCTGACAACAATTCAGAGGACTTTGTAGTAAAAAACCACTATCTCAACACCTATGAAGGTAAGCAATTTACATAATTACAAGTCCAGTATAAGAGGAGTATTAAAGTACTAAAAGAGAAGTATTAGATTAAAGGCGAAACAACAAATAAAAATATTTTCAAGAAATAGCAATGAACACATTTAATGTTATTAATAGGAGTACATACAAACCGATAAAAACTCCTAAGATCCAAATAAATATATATCTGTTTTTACCTACTAAACATTTAAGCATGTTCAATGTCACAAAAATGAAACTGAAAAAGCTTTTATACCGGTTTTTCAAAGTAAACAAGGAATATATCATGAAATCAGCCCTTTAAAAAGAACTATTAGTAAACTAGTGGGCAAGGAAATGGGTAACTAGGGGACAAGTTCATAGAGAGGACTATACCTCTTGCCAAGTCCCGGAGAGGCTCATTTAGATTATTTAAATTTAATTGACAAGTTGAAGCATATACATGGCCAAGATCATGAATTGATGGTCACACTGTTGAACTTGTAGCTCTGGCTGATCATCTCCAGAGCAGAATACAATAAACTGGTGTATAGCGACCAAAAATTGGTGGTCCCATATATCATATGGTCACTAATTTTCTGTTGGTTATTGTCATAGAACTTAATACTTTTTTGTAGGGAAATATTTAATTAGAATGCATTTCTCAGGGTCCCTGGGTGGCTCAGTCTGTTAAGTGTCTGATCCCAGGGTCCTGGGTTCAAATCCCACATTGGGCTCCCTGCTCAGTGGTGAGTCTGCTTCTCTATCTGCCCCAATCCCCTTATGTGCTCTTTCTCTCTCTCTCTCTCTCTGAGAAATAAAATCTTTTTTAAAAAAGAATGCATTTTTCATTTTGTAGTCTAAATCACCAAGAACATGAGAACATTAATTATGTAGAAATTTGCTTTACATTTTGGGGCCACTTCAATTATGTGAGCTCTATCTTATCAGTAATTCTAAATGAAACCACTTAGCAAACAGCTACTAAAATTAACAATATGCTCTCAAAACGTGAAATTTAATCACTGAATACTAAAAATATGTACTTCCTTCCTGTAGGATTAGTTGAACTTGAGTCACGTCTCCCAGATTTTGTGACACAACCCCGAATCAGACCGCCAAAGCCAAAAGTCACTACAACGAAAGCTGGTTTTCTCAAGAGGGCAGCAAGGATGGACCATGAGTTGGCAGAGGTTCATAAGGTATAAGACTTATTTGTAGACAAGAGCTATTAGTGGGACTTCTGTAGTGAAATACTTCATCTCCAAAACTGCAGTGTCCAGTAGTTCTCAGCACATAACTCTACAACTTTTCTCCTCTCCAGACTTTTATCTTCCGGAAGTTGCCCGCGCTGTGTTGAACCAATGTTTTTTCCTTGTTTCAAACTGTAGGAAAATTGTTGGAGGCTGTCCTCCCCATTTGCAGAAGTCATGCTACTTCCTTTTTGTTGTTGTTGTTGTTATCATGTTACTTCCTAAAAGTGGTTCTGACTTTGGATCTACATAATAAAATCTGCCACTACATTGAGGTATAGCAAGTTCCTAGTATCAGGAATTACTGCTGGTTTTAATAGTGTAATAGGCCTCATTTTCTCCCTTTTAGATTTGTTACGGGGGCATCAAGAAGAAAGGGAGTCACGTTCAAGTCCTTTCTCATCTGGTTTAAAGCTCAACTAAATGAGAAAGTGCAGTGGTTATCTCCATGAAACAAGTTACACAGCACCCCCCAGCTGTACTTCCCTTTTGTTAGTTGGACTATAAGTGCACAGACACTAGAATTCGTGATTTGTGATCATGCTACTCCGTTCTTTAGCATGCATCGCAATCACCTGGAGGGCTTCTTAAAACACATGTCGCTGGGCCCACCCCTCAAAGTTTCTGATTGAGTAGGTCAGGGGTGGGGCTGGAGTACTTGCATGTGGTACAAGTTTCCAGAAAATGCGATCTTCAGAAATTGCCATTGGAGACACACTGGTTCATGATAATCTCATCATTGGCTCATGCATTTGTTTGTTCATTTGGCTTTGGGCATAGCATAAGAATCCACGGTAGCCTATATCAATATAAAAATTAAGACCTTGGGGCGCCTGGGTGGCTCAGTTGGTAAAGCGTCTGATTCTTGATTTCAGCTCAGGTCATGATCTCAGAGTCCTGAGATAGAGCCCCACTGTGGCTCCATGCTGGATGGGGAGCCTGCTTAAAATTCTCTCTCTCCCTCTTCCTCTGCCTCTACCCACCCCACCAAGGTGCGCATCGCCCTTTCTCTCTATAAATAAATAAATAAATAAATAAATAAATAAGGACTTTGACAATAATTCACATATATCTATGTGGTTTTTTTTTTCCCACCTCATCACCCCATCTCCGTTTACCCATTCTGAACTCGGTGTTCATTATTCTTTCACTTTCTGTAAGAGTTTCTTTCAAATACTCTTTATTAGGGTATGGAAGTTCTCTTCTATTCCTGTTTTACTAAAGCTTTTAATCATGTATTCATGCTGAATTTTATCACATGTTTTATCTGTATCTATTGAGGTAATTATATATTTTTTAAATTATTGAATAGGGAACATTTATGTTTTTGTTTTTGTTTTTTTAACGAACAGTCTATCCTTACATACTGAGAATGAACCTAACTTGGATAAGATTTTTTTTTTAAAGATTTTATTTATTTATTTGACAGAGAGAGAGATCACAAGTAGGCAGAGAGGCAGGCAGAGAGAAAGGGGGAAGCAGACTCCCTGCTGAGCAGAGAGCCTGATGCAGGGCTTGATCCCAGGACCCTGAGATCATGACCTGAGCCAAAGGCAGAGGCTTAACCCACTGAGCCACCCAGGTGCCCAAGATGTTTTATTTTTAATACACTGTTGGGTATTAAGGAGGGCACTTGTTATGATGAGCACTGTGTGTTATAAGTAAGTGATAAATCACTAAATTCTATTCCTGAAACCAATACTACACTATATGTTAACTAACTAGAATTCAAATAAAAATTTGAAAAAGAAAAAAAATTCATTGTTGGATTCGATTTACTAATATGTTTTCCAGAATTTTGATTCCATATTCATGAGTGAAACAACCTTATTTTTCCTCTCATTTTGACTCCATATGGCTTTGGTGTTAGAGTAATGCAGGTCTTCTGAAATGACTGCAGAGTATTCCTTCTTTTCTACTTTTGGAAAGAGTTTAACTTTAAAGTGATCTAGTCCTTCAATTCGGTAGAATACTCATATTAAAATTATCTGAGACTGATGTTTTCTTCATGGGAAAATTCTAACTACTTCTTCAGTTTCCTCACTACTTATAGAACTGTCCGCATTGTTTTGGTAAATTATATTTTCTTTTTTTTTTAATTTCTTTTTTATTATTATTTTTATTTTTTATGGAGGGAGAGAAGAAAGGGGCAGGAGAGGGGCAGATAATGAGGTAGAGAGAGAATCTTAGGCAGGATCCATGCCCAACTGCAGAGCCCAATGCGGGACTTGATCTCACTACCCTGAGATTGTGACCTGAGCCAAAACCAAGAGTCAGACATTGAATTAACTAAGCAAATCAGGTGCCCTGGTAAATTACATTTTCCTTATAAAGTGTTTTGCGCCTAACTTTTCATATTTTTTGGCATGTGGTTGTTGATAGTATTATTTAAAATCTTTTTAGTGTTTGTGATATCTATAGTCCTGCCTATTTTTTTTCATTTGTAATACTATTTATTTTTGCTTTCACTCTTTTTCCTTACTTGGTTTTACAGGAGGCTTATTAATTTCCTTGGTATTGTTTTTCCAAAGAATGAAATTTTTACTTTGTTGATTTTCTCTACAATATATATATATTTTAGTCACATTAACTCCCATTCATATACATCTTTCCTCTTTCTTTTTGTTTTGTTGTTCTTTTCCTTAAAGTAGTCATGTAGCTCATTAATTTTCAGGCAGTCATCAGTTTTATAAAAGTATTGAAGGGTAAGCATTTCCTTCAAAACACTGATTTTGGTATATTCCATTAGTTTTGATTTTATCAATATTAGTATCTAATTTTTTAAAACGTGTTATGGTTTTTGAACCTGTGAGTGTTTAAGTTTTTAAATTTCCAAATATGCAGGAATTTTAACTCATTTTTGAATTAACTTCTAACTCCTTTGCTCTATGGTCAAGGATCCCTATTCTTTGAAACTTAGTGAGGCTTGTCTTGTGAACTAGTATATGAGTTTACATATAAAATAATCTAAGTCCACCTTCAGATAATACTGTCACTTTACGTGCAGTGTAGGTCCCTTATAGCAGATTATTCCCCGTTCATCCCTACTGTCCGTGTGGCATTCTTGTCATTCATTTCACTGATCCATATGCTATAATAACCAATATATTCTTACTCTCATTGCTTTAACAGTTATTTTTTGGATCAATTAAAAATAAGAAAAAATACTTTATTTTACCTTCATTTATTCTTTCTATGGCACTGTTCCTTTATAGGAATGCAAGTTTATGACCTATGTCATTTTGCTCCTACCTGGAGCAACTGGAGAACTTGGTTTACATTTATTATAAGGAAGGTCTCCTGGCAATAAACTCTCAGTTTTTGTTTGTTTCAGGAAGTCTTTATTTCTTCTGTATGATTTTTTTTTTTTAGATAATTCACATACCATTAAATTCACTCTTTTAAAATAAACAATTCAGTTGTTTTTAGTATACATATACACAAGGTTGTTCAACCATCACCATTATCTAATTCCAAAACATTCTCATTATCCCCAAAAGAAACCCATACCCATTGGCAGTCACTCCTAATTGCCTTCTTCTCCCTATCCCCCAGCAACCACTAATATTTCTTTTTATGGATTTGCCTATTCTGAACATTTCATATAAATGAAATCAGACAATGTATGGCCTTTTGTGTCTAGCTTCTTTAACTTAGCACAATGTTTTTAAAGTTCATCCATGTTGTAGTAGGTACCTTAATGCTTTGTATGACTGTACGATATTCCATTATGTGGATAAATCACATTTTGTTTACCTGCTCATCAATTGATACAGTTGATAGAAATTTGAGTAGTTTCTACTTTTTATCTATTATAAACTATGGTGCTTTGCACATTTGTGTACAGATTTTTGTGTGGACATAAATTTTTCAGTTCTTTTGGCAATATACCTAGGAATGGAATTCCTGGGTCACCAGGTAACTCTTTTATTTCTTGAAGAACTCCCAGACTATTTCAAAAGTGGCTACACTGTTTTACATTCCCACCAAGAATGTATGAGGATTCTGATTTCTCCGTATTTTTGTCCTCACTTATTACTGCCCATCTTTTTTATTATAGCCATCCTAGCTCACCCAGTGAGATACCTGCATGGTATCTCATTGTGGTTTAGAATTGCATTTGTCTTAATGATTAATGAATTTTAGCACCTTTTTCATGTGCCTTTTGGTCATATGTACATCTTTTTTTTTTTTTTAAGATTTTGTTTATTTATTTGCGCGAGAGAGAGACAGCATAAGAGAGTGAGAAAGCACAAGCCGGGGGAGGGACAGAGAGGGGAGAGGGAGAAGCAGGCTCTCTGCCAAGCCAGAGCCCGATGCAGGGCTTGATCCCAGGACCCTAGGATCATGACCTGAGCCAAAGGCAGATGCTTTTTTTTTTTTTTTTTTTTTAAGATTTTTTTTATTTGACAGAGAAAGATCACAAGCAGGCCGAGAGGCAGGCAGAGAGAGGAGGGGGAAGCAGGCTCCCCGCTGAGCAGAGAGCCTGATGTGGGGCTCGATCCCGGGACTCTGGGATCATGACCTGAGCTGAAGGCAGAGGCTTTAAACCACTGAGCCACCCAGGTGCCCCCCAAAGGCAGATGCTTAACCGACTGAGCCACTCAGGCCCTCCAGGTCATTTGCATATCTTTTTTGGGGAAATGTCTATTCAGATCCTTTGCTTATTTTTTAATTGGGTTGTCTTTTTATTGTTTATAATACACATTACTTTTAATGTCTATTTACTGTTGAGTTGTAGGAGTTTTGTATATATTCTGAGGACTGTTCCCTTGTCAGATGTGATTTGCAGATTTTCCTCCCATTCTGTGGGATGTGTTTTTACTTTGATAGTATCCTTTGAAACAGGTAAATTTAAAATTGTGATCTTTTCAGTTTTGAATAATGATTTTATTGAGTGAATTCTAGATTGGCGGGGTTTTTTTCCAACACTTCAAATATTTCACTCTTGCATGGATTTTTTTTTTTTTTAAAGATTTTGTTTATTTATTAGAGAGAGAGTGAGCAAGAGCATGAGCAGGGAGGAGGGACAAGGAGAAGCCAAAGCAGACTCCCAGTGAGCAGGGAGCCCGATGCAGGACTTGATGCCAGGACCCCAGAATCATGACCTGAGCTGAAGGCAGATGCTTAACTGACTGAGCCACCCAGGCATCCTGCATAGCTGTTTTTTGACTAGAATTCCACTGTAATTTTTAATCTTAATTCCTCAGTAGCGAAGGTGTGTTTTCTATCTTCTTTCAGACTTCTCTGTCTTTCTCTAAATGTTATATGCCTGGGGTGTGCGTGTGTGTGTGTGTGTGTGTGTTAAGGTACCTGTCTTGCTTAATGTTTTCTAAGCTTTCTGGATTTGTGGGTTGGTGTTTGTTATTACTTTAGGCAAGTTTCCAGCCATTATTATTTCAAATATTTATTCTACATTCTCTCTTTCTTCTCCATTTGGTATTCCACTTACACATATTACTCTTTTTGATATTGTCTCACAATTCTTAGATGTTCTGTTCTGTTTCTTTGTTTCTCCTTGCATTTCAGTTTGGGAAGTTTGTATTGACATATCTTCAAGTTCCTGGAGTCTTTTTTTTTTTTTATCTTTTTTTAGCCGTGTTGAGTCTACCAATGAGCCTATTGATCGCATTCTCCATTTCTGTTATAGTGTTTTGACTTCTAGCCTTACCTTTTGATTCTTTGGGTTTCAGTCTCTGCTTACATTACTCATCTGTTCTTGTTTGTCATCTTCCTTTTCCATTAGAGCCCTTAACATAGTAATCATTGTTATTTTAAATTTTCTGTCTGATAATTCCAACATGTATATCATATCTGACTCTGGTTCTGATGGTTACTTCTCTTTTTAGAGTATTTTTTTCCTTGCCTTTGTAATGCCTTTTAATTTTTTTGCTGATAGCCTGACATCTGTTATCAAACAATAGTAACTGAGGTAAATAGACTATAGTGTGGCATTTATATTAATCTGGCTAGATGTTGGGCTGTGTTTAATGTTTGTTGTAGCTGATGTCAGAGGATTCACATTCTTCTACAGTCCTTGTTTTTAATCTGTCCTCTTGGCTTTGGGATGAGATGCCATTATATGGTGTCTGTCAGTCTGGAATATTGGTTTGAATTGAAGAGAGTCACTAAATATTAGATTTATGTCCAGATAGTGTATTTACTTTGTCTTATGGTTACATTATTTTGAGAATCTAGAATCAGAAATATAAAGGTACAGGTGGTATAAGGCTTAAAAAATACTTTATGAGCTATGTCACAGTAACCATAGAGGAGAAATATCTAGAATAGTTTAAAATAATTTCCACAGTACAGTATTTTCAGGCTATTCTTGGTAGTAATTTAGGTTGGAATATATTTTTGAAGACTTGTCAAATTACTTATGTCCTAAAGGAGATTAAAGAGTGTACCAGTGAGTTCTTTCTTCTATTTATGAAAATCATGGATTGAACTCAGTTGCCTAATGTATTTGTCTTTTAAGCATGTTAAAATGTATTGTTTGGTAACAACATTTCCTTGATATTCTCATATTCACTCATATTCCCCCTCCCGAGAGCTTTACCTTTCAAGACAATAAGACAGATTGAAGGGATTCTCATATACTTTTATTTGTTGGTTTTATTATACTTTTCATTAGACTTCTTGACCAAACATTTTTCCCTTAACTGTGAAAATGAATTGCCTTTTTTCCAAAATTTAAATTATTTGTTTCTTTTCTTTTATATTTAGAATTTATTTGCTGACTGGGAAAAATATCCACATAGTTCAAAATTCATAAATTATACAAAAATATTAAATGTAAATCTTCAATCCCTGTCTCCCAGCTATGCAGTTCCTTCTTTGGAGGCCACCAGTGTTTTTTAGTTTCATATCTTTCTGTCCAGAGATATCTTACAAGCAAATATATTCATATCTATAGAGAAATATACACATGTATATATGTGTGTATTTAGAAATATGTAAGAACAAATAAAAATACCTATGAGTATCTTCTTAAATTTTTTTACACAAATAATACATAATACACACTGTCTGTCTGTGCTTTTATTATTTAATATATGTTGGAGATCATCCCATAATTGTATTACATCATTTTTTACAGATTTTTCATCATATAAATGTACCATGTCTACCCACTCCCCACTTGATGGATATTTATATTGTCCCAAGTTTTTTGTATCAAAAAAAATACTATATTGAGTGATCTTATTTGCATATAATTTGGTACATGTATGAGCAACATATCTAGAAGAAAATTCCTAGACATGAATTGCTGACCCACAATATGCCTGCATTTATAGTTTCGATGGATGCTGATAAATTTTCTTACATAAATGATGTACTAATTGCTGAGTGTGTGAGAGTGCCTGTTTTCCTAGATCTCTACCAACATATTATGAATGATTGGTTTTAAGATGGTTTCATGTGGTGCTGTTTAAGGCAATGCACTCAAGAGATGCCTGAGCTTAAAATTATTATTTTTTAGACTGCTGCTGCTTTCTGTTGATTCAATAGTTGTGGTTATTGTAGAGCTGTTATATATTAGAGCTGTTGTGTATTTGGTGTCAGTTTCATTTTGTAGAAACTCAGAGGGTTCTGTTAAAACCACAATAATTTCATGCGGTTTCAAATTTTACTGAACTTGAATATTTTTATTAATTTCAAGTTTTGGTTTAGTGCTTATTTTGTCACTTCTCTCTGTTTTCTGTGGGAAAACTAATATAAAAATCATATGATGAAAAGCATTCTAAAATATGATTTTTAAAAGACAGAGATCAGGTTTTCTGATACTTTTTTTTTTAAGATTTTATTTATTTATTTGACAGACAGAGATCACAAGTAGGCAGAGAGGCAGGCAGAGAGAGAGAGAGGAGGAAGCAGGCTCCCTGCTGAGCAGAGAGCCCAATGTGGGGCTCGATCCCAGGACCCTGGGATCATGACCTGAACCGAAGGCAGAGGCTTTAACCCACTGAGCCATCCAGGCGCCCCAGTTTTTTTGATACTTTTAAGTTACAAGTCTCCCCCTATGGCTGAAAATAGAAACAATGAACAAAACCTTATGTCATATATAATTTGGGGGACTTCTGGTGACTAAAAGTAAAATCAGTAAAAATGTATGTTGAAATCAAAGCACACGCACACACTGTTTCTCAAGAAAAGTTCATTTTCAGAAAAAGTGAGGTGCAGGCCTTCATGGTCAAAGGAAAGCTCTTTCTTCACTAGGAGACAATTGCCATTTAATGCTCCTCAGTTCCCCCATAACAACAGAACATACCAAATATTTCTGTCATTTGTGGCACAGGGAAATTTTCTATCACCCAGGCACTTAACTTGAAATAGCTAATTGGCTCTTGTGGAAGAATAGGAGTTGGAGGTTTTGCTTGCATACACACCACAAAACCTTTCAAAATCTCAAAAAAAATTTTTTTAATTCCCCAAATCTTTGACTAAAATGGATAAACCTAGAATATGTGCTTGGTTTATTCAATGTTAGCTGATGTTTAGGAATATCATACCAGTTAAACAAGCCCCCAGTTTTGGCCCTTCTCAAACTGTCATAGCATAACCATAGTGAAGATTATTTCTGATTGATACTCGATCTGTGGCCTAGATTGAGTAGTGGAAGAAAAACAGAGGTAAGAAATGACGCTGGTTGGTGTGATTTCAGGCAATACTGGATAAGAAGAATAGAGTTCTTGAACCAAAGAAAGTTTTGCGCTTTCTTCAAAGAAAGGCTCTACCTCAACCTCGGCTTCCAACTCCAACCTTGGAAATGAGTTCCAATGTAAGTTTGAAACTTTATTTGAAATGCTAAATTCAGTATTGCTGTTTGTTTATTCTTATACTTTGGGTTAAAAACAAACCTAACTTAACAGGGTTACCTTTTCAAGCTCTGACTTACGGCTTTTCTTCTTATGCTTCAAACATCAGACCCACACAAATAAGCAAAATGAAATCTTCCTAAGAAAAATGGGCATCAGAAGGTAATCCTCATGTGTGTCAAATAAAAAAAGATGAAATGATGATCAGTTACCATAACCATCTTGCCCATGGGGAGGTGGCTATGAGCTGGAGTCAGAAAGGAGGGAAATGCCAGCGATGTCATGAGGATAGGCTGGCTTCTGAGGTAGGACTGGCTCCAAGAGTTCACCCTGACCAGGGTCATACTTCACCTTCATAGGTCTCCAAACTTAGTTTGGGCAACGTACCAGAGTCAGTCAGGATTTAGGACTGACTTGGACTTAGCAGCTTCTGCACCCCCACAAGAAAGTGCTAGAGATGCCACAGTACAGATGTGTTGCTTGAGAGAAGGACTACTGCCTGCCTTGTAGAGGAGGATATTCTTCTTAGCAGTCCTTCTCCTCAGCCCACTATCTCCCAGTATAGGCAGTTCTCACAAGACGCCAGATTGAATTCAGAAGGTCGTTGTGCATTGTCAGAGGGAGGAACATTGGCAGGAGGTCTCATTAGTGCCTCTGAAGGGCCACCTGTGCGGAGACCCTGCTCCAGTACTCCCACTGACTGCCCGGGATGTGCTTCTGGGATGTGCTTCTAGGCTTTGTGCCAGTCACTCCTTGTGGTTCACATTGTCTTTCGCATGTGTTCATGCTGTTAATTTCTGTTGCTTTCTCTTGCATTCAGGGGCACTTTAAGTCAATTTGCAGGCTCTGCTTTCTTCTTTTGGTATATAGTTACTTAAGGTGATTTTTGTAGATGGCTAATCTTGTCCATTCTGATTTTACCAGCTTTTCTAAATTCTTGAGAGAAGCACCTTACTCTAGACTCCAACATAGACTAGTTGTATTCCTTGTCTACTCATGAACAAACATGAAAAAACTATTGCAAAAAGGATGTTATAAGCAATACTTGCTGCTTCAAGAAAGATTTTGCTAGAAAGGAGTATAGGAAAATGAAAATGACTTAATTTGTAGGGATAGAGTGAGTTTTTTGCATTTGATATGATTTTTTAATGATGTCTTATGATAAAAAAAATAATTTTAACAATACAGGAAGTAACATTTAAAATACTATATGTTCAATGAGTGTAGGCCTTATTTATTTCTCTTTAAATCCTTCTGGCATCTAGCACAGTCTCTTTTGCTTGATCTAAGTCTTCAAAAAAATATTTGATGCTGACCGCTACTCTTCTCAACCTGCTTGGTTCTCACTTTGTTCTTTTAGGAAGAAGAAGATATAGAGATGGCTGTGATCTACCTTCAAAAGTTACTCCGGGGAAGAGCCGTTCAGAACATGGTGTGTACAGTCCAACCACTGGTCCTGTGCTTCTCCTTTGAGAATAGATTTATAGAAGGCATATGTACTCGGTTCCTTGGGGTGAATTCCCTCTTACACCCTGCTGTCTGATGGAACTGTATGCTCTTGAATTACCTACCCATTCCCTTCTACTGTCAGAGTTCGTCCAAGTGGGTGGCATAATGTCAGGGAGAGAAAGGACCTGCCTGCTGTTTGTCACAGTTGTAACCGAGGCAAAGTGAAATTAATATCTTCCTTAGAATCACTAAATCCAACAATTTTCTTACCTGAATTTCGACTTATTTTATAAAAAGTTTATTTAGTTAAGTAATCTCTACACCCAACATGGGGCTTGAACTCATGACCCCTACCCCCCAAGATCAAGAGTTGCATGCTCTATCAACTGAGCCAGCCCCGTGCTTCTGAATTTTGACTATTAAGGCATCATAGACTAAATGGATTCCCTAATTTTCCACAATATCATAATTATTTGAGTTTGTATATAGCTAGCATTACCTGAATAATAAATAGCTAAATAATGCTAACTACAGTTTTGAACCCATACTATAAGCTCACATTATATATTCTTTGCTTTACGTTTATCATCTCAGTTTTTTCTATCAGTTACCCCATTTTATAGGCAAGTGATGTGAGTCTGAGATTATATTAACTACTAGCAAATTCAACTCTGGTCTTCCTGACTGTAAAGACTTCACCACATTATTTGTGCAAGCACACTTCAATTTTAAAATGGACTGATACAAAGCACCAGCAAAAAAATTTTCCTCCTCATACAGCTGTAACTCGTAAGAGACTCATATAGAATTAGTATGTCCAGGGAAGCCGGGTGAGCATCTGTGTTCAACATTATTCTCCCCTCTCCTTGAGTATTTCCCCAGGAAAAACGTCACAGCAGATTACGTATTACGAACCGCGGGCAGATCTCTTGGAAAAGAAAGCATGGCTATGAAAAAGAGCATCCTCAGGCATCTTTGGGAAGGAGCACAGAAAATGAAGGGGAGGATCTGGTTTCTTAATATGACCCTATAGAAACCACCTTGTCTTTGAGAGGCATTTTGAGAAACTGAGTAAACAACTGCTAAGTAAGCTCTTTCTCCACCTGAGCAGCTGGAGGTGTAGAAAAGAACGCAGAGCTCCAAGCCCTGTGGAACACCCCTGCTCTGCGGAGAAGGCAGAACCGAACCCACCGTTCACCAGTCCCTCACCAGTCACTGCAGGAGCCTTAGGGTCCCGCACAGGAGATGCTAACTTACAAGTCTCTTTTTGATTTGATTTGATTTGATTTGATACAGATGTTTGAAGGGAAGGAAAAGCGGCTGGAGTTGATCCAGGAGCTGCGCACCAGCCACGCACTACAAGAGGACGACAGGCTGCTGAAGAAAGCCGAGAAGCAAGTGACGCTGGCCTTGCAGCGGCAGAGGAACTTGCATGAGCACAAGGTTCTTTCCTTTTCTTTCTTGTTATGTCATCTCCCCAGATTTTTATTATTGGGCAGGCGGCATTACAACAACAGTAAATGAAATGACAAAAAAGAACCCCCCCCAACCCCATCACTCTGTCACAGTTGGTGTTTTTAAATAATAGACTGCACCAGCAGTCCAGAATTGGAATGGGATGTGCCCTTGCTGAACTGGGTGTGGTCTTATTTTATTTGCAAAAGAAAAAAAAAAACCCCACCACATTTTAAAAAGGTGCTCCCTTCCAATTTTCTTAAATATTTGGTTATTCTACTCAGTAGAATGGGGGCTCAACAGAATGAAAAGTAGTAAAGGCAGAAAAAAAAAGACATAAGACTTATTTTGAAAAGCAGCACTTGTTTATAAGTTTTGGAGCTGTTCATAGTGCATGCTGGTTAAACCACATCTAAAATATGTTGTTATCTCATGGTATTTGGTATCCTGTGACTTTCGTCAGTGTCACCTGACAACAGCTGCTCATTGTAGCTCTTCCCCAAAAGTTGTAAATGTTTTCCTACAGCATTTGTCCATGTATACAGTTTTCAATGTTTCTGACTATAGAGTAGACATACTTTTACTATCTCTCCCACTTATCTCTAAATCAGTGTGAAAAAGAATCCATTTGCAGAGTCTTGTGTTATAAGAAAGCTAATAGTGGAGTTAATATGACCCACCCTGAGTAGTGTACACAACACTTGTGCCATGTGGGACTGGGCATAAATGGTAGGCAGCTTGAGAATGAGTGTGTTACTCCTTTCCCATGACACCAGGCTTGTAGATGCTGAGTTTGGGGTTGATGGTGTAGAGAAGGGAGGAAGAAAGCCACAGTCTGTGAGACCCAACAGAGGGACAGAGAAAGAAGAATGGAATGTGGACACTAGAGTTTCTGAATCTGGAGGTCTCAGAGCCCTCAAAATGACAGAGACAAGGCTGCGCTTCTGTGCAGATGGGAAAAGAATGGCCTAGAAACACCAGGACCCAAGAACTGGATGGAAAAATGCCCTCCTTGGCCCTTCAAAGTTTCTGATTATAGACTTTAGCAGGTATACCTAAGCCAGCCCAGGCTTTTTCACTCATGTGTCCCAGTTCATAGGTAAACACTTGACTGATACCATCTCAGCTAAGAGCTGAAGGAGTTGTTAACAGGAAGAGCTGTCCCTTAACAAAGGACTCGCCCTGCTTACCTTCTGCTGTACCTAGATACACCACTGATACACAGGAGTCTGAGGGAGGGGGCAACTCACATCTACCTCCAGCTGATCCTCTCCTTTTCTCCTCTTATATTTTCTTTGGGGCATAGTACAGAAAATGCACAATTCCCAATTATGTAATGCATTGCGTGATATGACCACAGCAAAATCACCTTCCTAAAGATTTTTACTTAATTTTCAAATTAGATTGTACTCCCTTAGCATACTCAAATTTCCTGCTGAAGGAGAAGGTTGGACACAAACAGGTAGCCATTTGGGATTTTAAGGGTTGCATCTGCCCCCCAACGGAGGGAGCTTGTGATCCTGAGACAAGGAGAGAATCTGTTTGTGGTCTCTGGGCTGAATGACCACTGTGGATAAATGTAAGGAGCAGTGAGGCACTCTTAGTGTGGCCCTTTCTTTCCACCTCCTCCTGTCATATAAGTAAAGCTGAACTTTGTGGTTAGAAAGTATGTGCGGGCTGGGCGGAGGTGAGGGAGGGTGTTGGCGCTAACGTCCACGCTTGAATGACAGTCTCCCACAGCCTCATCATCTTTGAGACCTTTGTGGGTTTCCTCCCTTCAAAGACAAACCAGAGAAGAACACAGCACAGAAGAACTGTCAGGACTGAGGGAGCGTATAACTGGGAGATGAGCCCTTTCCCTTAAACTGGAGGATAGGAAAAGGAACGGGATGAAGTTGCAAAGGATTCAATCTTCCTAAACACTTTTATTCTCTGTGTCAAAGCCAGGACAGACAGATCCATAAATAGATACTGTGGCTTATTCCTGCCAGAGAACTCCAGGCCCCAACTTTACCTCAATGATTACATAGACCTGTAGCTTTTTCTTGCTCTGTTTCAAAGATAGTTCTTAATGACTTTGAAGTTATTTAAAAGAATATGGTACCACAGTTTCTACTTTCATGTTATTCAAGACCTTAGAATTCCCCAAACTTGTTTCAAAGGACCAAGCGTTAAAAAATTAAAAGGTATCATGAGTGAATTTCTAGAAGGTTCTATTTTATTGAACTCCAAAAAAATTTTTAAAAAAAACCTTGACATTTCCCTTCATATCTGGGAAGATAGAAGTACTTTACCTTCTGGATAAAAATGGAAAAAAAAATAATTTGTGTGGGTATTAACAAATGTTTTGCTAAATCCCCCTCATAATTTGAGGACTGTAATCTGTCAGTGACAGACTAAGCAATCCTTGGGGCCAGGCTGCCTGGGTAGCTCAGTGGGTTAAGCCTCTGCCTTCGGCTCAGGTCATGATCTCGGGGTCCTGGGATCGAGCCCCGCATCGGGCTCTCTGCTCAGCGGGGAGCCTGCTTCCCCATCTCTCTCTGCCTGTCTCTGCCGACTTGTGGCCTCTCTCTCTCTCTGTGTCAAATAAATAAATAAATAAATAAATAAATAAATAAATAGATAGATAGATAGATAGATAAATAAATAAATAAATATTTTAAAAAGAAAAGAAAAGAATCGTTGGGGTGATGCCAACCTAGTGATAATATTCCTAATAAACACTAAGTGTATTCTGAAAATGAAGTGACTGTCAGGAGTTCTGGGTAATCCAGCATCCCTCCATACACATCCACATGCTTAGTAGAATTTGTATCCTTAAAAATGTACTATTGTTTTTCAGGTCTCACTGGTCGAAAACCATTTGGCTGGACTGGAAGGAAGGGTGCTGGCAGACATGTTTGACTTCCTGTCCAAAGAGCTGGTGAGACTACAGGAAGAGCGGAGGATCCATGCTTTTGCCATGCTGGCTGAGCGGCAGCGGAGGATGCGAGAAGCTGAAGAGAGTGGTCGGCGCCAAGTCGAGCAAAGGCGCCTGCGGGAGGAGGACCAGATATTTAAGGAGGCAAGTGGGGGGCGCAGCTGGATGGCTGAGAGCAAATAGCTTTTTAGATGTGGGAAAGTGGAGCATGGAATTAATTTAGGGGCAGGGGTAGAATCAAAAATTTGATTTTTATTAGGCTTGAGACATTCTAGTGGAGGTGTCATTTCAGCAGATGGATAGCCACAATGGAATTTAGAAGAGAGGTTTCGGCTAAAGATATAAACTAGAGCACCAGGTTGGTAAGTTAGAATTCTGACCAAGACCTAATGAGTATGAAATTCCAAAGTGAGCAGGATGTAAATTCAGAGGAAGTCCAAGGAGCTAATAATATCTCAAAGCACTCACCCTCATCAAGGATATAAAAGCTCAAGTGTTAAAATTGAAGGGGATTTATGAAGAAGATTCCTTTAGAGGGAACTGTGCTGTGACTACCCGTTACACCCCCTACCCCCCCACCCCCCAACACACACCAAAACACACCCAGAGGTTGGTTTCTTTTACTGTAGTCATCGGCTAGCTTGATACGTACTTTTTCAGTTAGGGTGTCTGACCCCCTGGGAATGGAGAAGAGGGAAGCTGGGCCAGCTGGCTGCCCAGGGATAGATGAGGCTGTATGGGTGGCTAGCACACCCAGAATATGTCAAGGCAAAGGCTGTGTGAGAGTTTCCCCTGGTCCAAATGTGGGCCACATGGGAAAGAGAGATAGAACCAACCTGGATCTTAAACATTTTCCAAGAGGGCTGTCTGAATTGTATGTGTGGATACTCAGTTTAAAAAAAAAATAAAAAGTGTCCATTTGATATCTTCTTACTTGATCTGAGATTTTCAGGGTTTACCCAATTCTTTCCTTTTTTTTTTTTTTTTTTTAAGGATTTATTTATTTGACAGAGAGAGACACAGCGAGAGAGGGAACACAAGCAGAGGGAGTGGGAGAGGGAGAAGGCAGGCTTCCCATCAAGCAGGGAGCCAGATGCTGGGCTTGTTCCCAGGACCCTGGGATCATGACCTAAGCTGAAGGCAGACACTTAATGACTAAGCCACCCAGGCGCCCCAATTTACCCAATTCTTACGGAATTAGGATTGATTCTTGAATAGTATTTGTTTTGTGTGTGTGCTTCAAGTTTTTATTTTTTAAGCCAAAGAGATTGCTCTCCCTCTACACAGTGTAAGAATTTTTGAGTTACATATTGTCATGTTCAGCCTTTTAACTGGGGTGGCAGATCATCTACAATGTGTAACAACCTATAATCCATATTCTAGCTATTTATGATTGCATACTTAGGGAGGACAACTGTAAAGAAAAGGGAATGTTTACCATAAAGTCATGACAGTGGGAAGGGTCTGTGGTCAAGAAGAACCCATAGCGGTCTTCTAGAATTCTAGCAGTGGCTACATGGGTACTGGCTTTACCCTAATTCAGTGCACAGGACATCTATCACTGTGCACTTTTTAAAATGTGTGTTCTATTTCACAATTTCAGAAAGCTTAAAAAAGCAGCAGTCCAGGGTATGATAGTTCAAAAATTGATCAGAGATCCAGGATCCTTCTAGCTTTCTGCATTTTTGTCCTTAAGGCATGGCCCTCATGGCAGTTTAAGATGACTTCTGGTGCTCCAGGATTATGTCCCCATGATGTGAGACATGAAAAGAGAAAAAAAAAAAAATGCTAGGTTTCTCCCTTTAAGAATCTTTCTTTCCTAGGGTCACCTGGGTGGCTCAGTTAAGTGTCCAATTCTCGATTCCGCTCAGGTCACGATCTCAGGGTACTGAGAATGAGTCCTGCCTCAGGCTACATGCTGGCTCGAGCCTGTTTAAGATTCTCTCTCCCCGACCTGGTTGTGTTCTCTCTCTCTCTCTCTTAAAAAAAAAAAAAGAATCCTTTTTAGAAAGTACACGGATGACTTCTGCGTGTATTCCCTCAACCAGAACTATGGTTCCTAGGAAATGTAGTCTTTAGACACCTGTTGGCAAAACTAAAATTCAGGGGCTCTGTTATGTAAGAGGAAGGAGAGAAAGGACATTGGGAAATAACCTCTTAGTCTCTGCCACAGTTGGGTAGTTTGACCAAGTCACATTACTGGAAAGAACAAAGCCAGGATCCAAAACAGGGTTATTGACTGAGGCCCATGATCTTTCTGCAGTGTTGTATTGCCCACCCTAAGTAAGACTCATAAAGAGGGCTAGATGGATAGGGCCTGCCCAGAATGGGTAGGTAGGTGGGCTTGAAACAGACTGACCAGACAGGGGGAAAAAAAAAGGAATGATCAATGAGGGGACTATTGACTTAACGAAATAGATGTGCTTAAAAGACATTAGCCAATGTTTGTTCATTTTTTTGTCTTGTTTACAGTAGTATTCCTGTTCTTAGTAAGGAGGCATTTTTATTTTTTGCAGGTGATTAAAGTTCACCAAAGTACTGTAACTTCCTATCTGGAAGACATAATACTGAACACCGAAGAGAACACTGCAGAAGAACAAGCCAGGGCAGAAATTGAGAAGATGGCTAAGGAAATCAATGACATTGCTTATGAAATGGAGAGCCGGTTCGTACCAAGAGACCAGAAGGCAGGATGGGCAGTCCATTTACTGTTACCGATATGTATTTTTCAAGAGCTTAAGATTTTACCTTCAAGGAGAAACAAGTATATATCTCCTGCTTCAGTGTCCATTGTTTTAATTGCATAACTCCTTAGAAGTCAACATGCCTAACCCTTTGTATGGCAGGAGCTCTGGGAGTAGGATTTTCAGTGATCCTCTGCAGTCTGGATCACTAACATGTACTTTTACAATACCACAAAGCATGAAAGCAATGTGAATAAGTATGTGCAGTATGACTTCACCCCAAAGGTTTTGGCTTCATAAGTATATTTCTAACATACCTTTCCTGGCAGTCAGGTTAACTAAAGGACAGGATCAAACCTGAATTTGCATGAAGTTAACCAAGCCCTGTGGCAGAATAATATTTCAGACAACTTAATCAAGGAAAAGGCAGTGGTGGGATTTGAGCAGTGGAGTCCTTCACATAAGGAGAACTTGAGTAGAAATCAGCAGCTCAAGTAAGGCAACAAAGGAAATAGTTTAATTTGTTTTTTATTTTTTAGTCGAACTCAGCTTCAGTCAGAGGAGATTGTTGCTGAGTTGGTTTATAGTTTCCTGATCCCAGAAGTGCAAAAGGACTATGTCAAAGAAAAAGGTAAGCCAATGTAACGCTTCACTTTGTGATTTCGTTTAAAAGAGATAAACTATTTTCAATATCCCTGAGATTTAAAATTGAGCAGAAGTATAAAGAAATTTCTGAAGGAGAATCACTGAGTTTTTTATTTCAGAGCTTGTCAAGTTCTCTTCATGCTCTCTGATTCCAGAGTATAATCAGTCTAGTATAGATGTGATACAGTTCTAGTAAGTGTGACGGAGTATCAAAAGCAAAAGCTTCTTTAAGAATTTGGTTAAAAAAAAAAAGAATTTGGTTTAAGGCAAATGTTGACAATATGCAGGATTTTCAGAGTGTGCTAGCCTTTTGGAGGTGGGACACACACAGGGTGGATGCTGGAAAGCTGAGATGCTTAAAGGGTTAAATCTATTCTGCTGCTCTGACTGTGCCCCAGATAACTTAGTTTCTGCCAGGACTGTATCTAAGTATAAATATCTTCACTTGTCAAAAGTGGCATGTCTTGAAGACTGATGCTTTTAGTTAATAGAGAAAGAAAAATATTGTCTTAAAAAATGTTCTTGGGGCACCTGCGTGACTCAGTCAGTTAAGCATCTGATTCTTGATTTTGGCTCAGGTCATGATCTCAGGGTCTTGAGATCAAGCCCCACATCTGGCTCCATGATCCACGTGGAGTCTGCTTGAGATTTTCCCTCTCCCTCTGCCTAACCCCCCAGTCCCCACAGAATACTTCTGTGGAGCTTTCAGCCTATTGGTGATAGGTTACCAGAGACAGAGGGGTGCAACCAGAAGATCAATAAATGAAATAACTTCCAAGGAAGATGGCCAAGTAGGAAGATCCTAAGCTGACCTTGTCCCATAGTTACACATAGATGACACACACATCAGTGTAAGCAACCCAGAAAACAATCTGAAAACTGGCAGAACACACTCTCAACATCTAAACCTAGAGAAGAGATCACATCAAAAACGGTAGGAAGTGCAGAGACAGGTCAGAAACCAAACTGACCCATGACACTGTCCATGGAAGGGACACTGCAAGCATGGAGAAAGGAAAACAGCAGACCCTACACCAGACACCCCAGGCAAGGGGCACCTGCACAGGGAAGATGAATCCCTATAACATTTGGTTTTGAAAACCACAGGGGCTTAACTTCACAAGTTTTACAATCAGCAGGGCTCAACATCTGGTACTTTGTAACTGTGGCTTGGCTCTAGAGGGCCAGAGGGCAATAGGAAACAGTCCCCATCCTTAAAGAGACAGCATAACAAACAGCTCTACTGGGATACAGCATGGAAGCAGCAGTTTGAGTCTATGAGAAGACTTACTAATTGCAGAACATGTGCTGGAGGGGCAGGGATCTTTAGGAGACTTCTCCAAAACCAAAAGTGCTATCAGGAGCCATTTACCTTCCTCAACCCCAGCCTAGATAAATGGATACCTACAAGGACCAGCAAAGTGCATACTCTACTTAGCTTGCTAACAATATACTCCATTCCCAGGTTCTTCTGGGAATCCCAAGCACTCCACTAAGCAGGAGTTCAGCTAAAGCTGTGTCACAAACTTGGCATTATGCAAGCAGCTCCACTGGGCCAGCACCACTCCAAAGTGACCCCTGCCCCAGGGAGAGAGGAAGATAACCACACACACATCAGTCAGCTGTGAATCCAGCAACTGGCAGACATTTGGTCTGACTGAATGCCTCACCCACCAATGAAAGCCTCCCAGGGGTCAACACAGGGAGAATGCCCTATAGTTCAGTGTGACCATAGCTCTGGCGTACATCAGGGCTGACCCAACTCAAGCCCATGGGACCCCAGACAGCACGGGGACCAAACCCTGCCCACAACAAGCAGACAGTCTTTGAAGGTGACTAGACCGAAGGCAAACACAACTCAGCCACAACAGTAGGGCATACACAACATGCACAGGAGACATCCCTGAAATTCCAGGATCTGGTGAACAGGGGAAATTTTAATGCAGGGCACTATAGGACCACCACTTTATACGTCCATGACTTTCAAGAGCAGATGTAGCCGACTTTCATAACACATAGAAACAGACACAGACAAAAGGAGGAGACAGAGGAATATGTCCCAAATGAAAGGACAGGACAAAATCCTAAGAAAGCTAAAGCAATATGCTTGGTAGGGAATTTAAAGTAATGGTCATAAATATATTCATTGGAATGGAGAAAAGAGTGAAGGACTCAGACACACAACAAAGAGAGAAAACACAAAAATACACTGGAGGGAAAAAATAGTACATGAGAGGAAGCATAACACATCAGTGCTTTGGAGGATAGAGTAATGGAAAGTAATCAAGCTGAAAGGAAAAAAAGAATATACAAAGGAAAATAGATTAAGGAAACTCAACCACACCATCAAGTGTAATAACACTTGCATTGTAGAGATTCAAGAAAGAGAGGACAGAGAAAAGGGTAGGGGGAGAAAAATTTATTTGAAGAAATAATAGCTGAAAACTTCCTAAATCTGGAGAGGGAAACAGAAATCTAGATTCAGGAGGCACAAATCACCTCCAACAAAATCAACCCAAGGAAGTCCACACCAAAGTACATGGTAATTAAAATGGCAAAAAGCAGTGGTAAAGAATTTTTAAAGCAGCAAGAGAAAAAAAAATAGTTACATATAAGAAATACCCTGTAAGACAGCTGATTTTTCAGCAGAAACATTGGAAGCCAGAAGGGAGTGGCAGGATATATTCAAAGTGCTGGAAGAGAGAAACATGTGACCGATAATACTCTATCCAAAAAAGCTATCATTCAGAATAGGAGGAGAGAAGAGAAAGTTTGCCAGACAGAAGTTGGAGGAATTCATGACCGCTAAATCAGCCTTACATGAAATGTTAATGGGACTCTGAGTGGAAAGGAAAGACCATAAGCAGGAGTAAGAATAGGAAGCACAAAACCAGTAAAATAAAGTATATCTATAAAAATCAGTCAAGGGATTCACAAAATGAAAGCATGTAAAGTATGACACCATATACCTAAAACAGGGTGGAGGAGAGGAATAAAAATTTAGTGCTTTTAGAATGGGTTCAAACTTAAGCAAACAACAGCTTAATATAGACTGCTATTTGCACAAGACATTACATATCAACCTAATAGTAACCACAAATCAAAAACCAGTAATATATATGCCAAAAAACTGAGAAGGGAATCCAAGTACATCACTAAAGAAAGCCAGCAAACCAGGAGAAAAAAGAGTAAGAAAGGAATAGAGAACTACAAAACAACCATAAAACACGTACTTATTGCTATTTGTTACTTAGCTATCAATAATTACTTTGAATATAAATGGACTAAATGATCCAATCAAAAGACACAAGATCATAGAATGGATAAGAAACCAACACCCCTATATGCTATCCACAAAAGAGTCATTTCAGACCTAAAGACACATGCGGATTGAAAGTGAAGAGATGCAGAAGGGTTTATCATGCAAATGGAAGTGAAAAGAAAGCTGGGGTACCACTTAGTTCAAATAGACTTGAAAACATGGGGCACCTGGGTGGCTCAGTGGGTTAAGCCTTTGCGTTTGGCTCAAGTCATGATCTCAGGTCCTGGGATCGAGCCTCACATTGGGCTCTCTGCTCATCAGGGAGCCTGCTTCCCCCACCCCCAACCGCCTGCCTCTCTGCCTACTTGTGATCTCTCTCTCTGTCAAGTAAATAGGTTAAAATCTAAAAAAAAAAAAAAAAAAGAAAGAAAGAAAGAAAGAAAACAAAGACTATAACTGGAAACAAAGACACTGTGTAATCATAAAGGGAATAACAATCCAACTAGAAGACACAACAATTGTAAATATTTATGCACTCAACATGGGAGCACTCAAACACATAAAGTAGCTATTAACATATTTAAAGAGAGTAACTGATAGTAATACAATAATAGTAGGGGACTTTAACACCCCATGTACATCAATGGATAGATCATCCAAAGAGAAAAATCAAGGAAACAGTGTTTTGAATGACCCAGCAGACCAGATGGACCTAAGAAATACTCAGAAATTTCCATCCTAAAACAGTGGAAGAGGCATTATTTTCAAGCACGCATGGAACATTCTCCAGAATAGATTACATGTTAGGCCACAAAATAATTCTCAACAAATTTAAGGAGTTTGAAGTCGTATTTGCATCTATTCCAACGACAATGCTATGAAACTAGAAATCAACCACAGGAAAAAATCTGGAAAGAAGACACTACATAGAGTTTAGATTACATGCTACTAAACAATGAATGCATCAGCGAAGAAATAAAAAAATACATGGAGATAAATTAAATGAAAACACAATGATCCAGAATCTTTGAGATGTAGCAAAATCTGTTCTAAGAAGGAAGATTATAGCAGTACCAGCCAACCTCAAGAAAAATCTCAAACAATCTAACTTTACACCTAAAAAAGCTAGAAAAATAACAAGCAAAACCCAAAACCAGAAGGAAGGAAGTAATAAAGATAAGAGAAAAACATGAATTAAAAAAAACCTAAAAAACAAGGGAGGAAAGCAAGAGCTGTTTCTTTGAAAAGATCAACAAAATTGATAAACCTTTAGCCAGATTCATAGAGAGAGAGAGAGAGAGAGAAACAAAGAGGACTCAAACAAAATGAGAAAAGAATGAGGAGAAATAACACCACAGGAATACCAAAGGTTATGAGACTATTATGAAAAATTATATGCTAACAAATTCAACACCAAGAGGAAATGGATGAATTCCAAGAAATATATAACCTCTCCAGACTAGATTAGGAAGACATAGAAAATTTGAAGATTGATCACCAGCAGGGGAGATGAATCTGTAAACAAAAAACTTCCAACGAACAAAAGTTTAGGACCAGGTGGCTTCACAGGTGAATTCTACAAGCATTTAAAGAAGCATTTAAAGAATTATACAAGCATTCTTCTCAAACTATTCTGAAAAATAGAAGAGGAAGGAAAGCTTTCAAATATAGTCTATGAAGCCAGCTGATACCCTGATACCAAAACCAGATAAAGAAGCTACAAA